ATATATATATATATATATAAAGATAAATTTAATAAAATATAACAAAATATAAATATATAAATATAATACCTGTAAATTGCTCCAATGTTTGTGACAAGAATTATAAATGTTTCTTCACTTTGCTCTTTTAAAAATATTTCTATTATATTATCCTTATTATTAGGTATAGTTCTGCAATCAGAAGATATTTATGCACACATCAGAATTATATTTCTAATACATTTACAAATAATTTTTCAGAAAATATAATTAAATATTTATTAAACAATAAAAGATATTAAAAGATAAGTAACATTTACTTAGTAAAAATTATTTTTCCATCTGATAAATGCAAACAGTATAAAATCCTGGTTGTGAGTGTTACAAATAAAAAGAAACCATCCTTGGAAATGCAGTAACTGGCAATCATGGAGGGAAAGCTAATGTTACATAATATTTCATCACATGTTTCATCTTTAAAGATTGTAATAGACTTGTCAATTGCTACACAAATCTTGGAATATTGAATAGATGCTATGACATTTGGTTGTTGGTCCACCTTAAAAAGACATATATTGATTGATTTTAATGATGTATTATCATAATTTATAATAGTCATAATTGTAATGTATACAAAATAATAAATCTATATCACAATAAGTCATTTTTAAAATGTGCGCTTTAATAATACAAATTCAGCGCGTGCACTGAACTTCACATGGATTTAAACATAAAAAAACAACTGCTTATATATGTAATATTGCTTTAAAAAAAATTATATACTATATTTTATGCTTTCCTTCAAGCTTCTTTTTCGTCTTCTTTTTATTGGCTTTGCAGCCGAATTTGGCTGAAACTGAGCCGAAACTGGCTGAACTGATGTTCGAATCTTCGAACGTCGAAAAATGCAATAACTCGTAAGAATAATACATTATAAAAATCACTTTAAACTGAGCAATCTTATCGAAAAGATGACAAGTACAACACGGTCGAAAATGGTAATACAAACCGACCGGACCTCCAGGCTGCTCCAGTCCACTAGACTAGTAGTATGCGAATCCTGGGAAGGGATCTCAGTATGAGAAATGCAAATGCACGGTTAAAATTTCGGCAACACTTTCCAAAAAAAATAATCGAGGTGATGCGATACCCGACAACCCGACGCGAGCCGAAAGCTGAGACGAAACACGTCCGCTTCATTCGAGCGATATCTCTCGAGACTCACTCTCTTTTAAGCGAAGTATCTCGGAATTCTCTATTTTCAATCACATCGCGTAAAAGAACTGCTGATACGAACGTCAATGAAAAACGTTCGAAGTTACCGTGCAACTGTCATACTAGACAAGTTTGAATATGTAACACAAACCTTTTCATGCGATTGAATCGTTGCCACGGTGCATGCCTCGTACAGAGAACCATTGTTTTCTGCAATTATTCGTGTTCCAAAATTAATAGTTTCATCGTCGACGTTAAAGCCCGACTGTATGTTACTCCACGAAGTCATTTTTTCAAGATTCTTCTTCCTCACTCTTTTAATTTTCAGATTATACTGGATCGTATTGTGGTAGTTAATACTCGTTTGGGCGCCAAGAATGGAAATTTCTTATTATGAGTTAGTGCATCTCGTCATTCTATGGATGGCGTCGCAGTTCACATTATTAATTATTTGGATTTAATATCGGCAATCGGTCATGTATCATAAATCAAATTGTTAGGAGATACGGACACTGACGAGATACTATTAAAGCCCGTCAACCCTGAGCAAATTTTCGGTGGTATAAAAAGGATCCCAAGAGCCCGGAGGTAATTAAAGAATGCCGACATTATCGACAATTGATATAAATTTGCTATTATTAACATAAATATTTAGCTCATACATTATTAAATTTATGATTTTTTATTACACAAATGTTCCATAAATAAATATGCATACTTGTAAAGCTATAATATTCTATATATTGCAATTTTTGAAACATTACAATTTTTTCTCTGCAGTTATTATCTCTCTCTGTTGATAATCAAACTATGACGATAACACTGCCATTACAATTTTAAAGAAAAATCGAGTATTATTGAGTTCTAAATACGTCTACTAAACTAATAAATCATAAAATTAGTACAATATTATCAGTCTTTAATAGTATCTCGTCGGTGATACCGATTATAAATTTTCCAATTATTTTAGAAATTTTTAAAAATATCGATAATTCTCAGAATTTTACACAATGTATTTTTGATAATGTATCGATCATTGGTGGTGATATTAAAAGTTCGATAGTAGATAAAATCACATTTTACATTACCACTAGATCTTCTCTCTATCTCTCTTTCTCTCTCTCTTTTTGTTCTATACAACAGAACTACACTGTACAGAACAGAAAAGTGCACGTGCGGTGCGTCTGATTTTTGTTTAGTTTTACATGTACATTATAGATTATACAGAATTTGTGAACTGCGAATTACGGCGACAGGATCACTAACTAAAGTTTATTTATTGGATAACGCACACGAGTGACATTTACACATTTCATTGTTGAACAAATTATTTTAATATTTAAGTTATCGAAAAAAACATCTGTATACATTTGATGTGATACATATATTTGCAAAACAAATTCGTCGCAATTATGAGTGATGCCACTTTCCTCGAAGTTGATGACTCTATTAAGGCTAAAAATTTATTATTATTTGTAAGTATAGGTATAGTAAATATACATATATTCATATATACAAATATACATATATTATTGATATATGTACATATGCATGTGAGTTATGACAAAAATGTTAAATGTTTCTGACAGGATGGAGATAAGGATGCTTTAAATCAGATGGACAAATTAATGGAACAATTTGATTCGACACCATCTATCCTTGTGCAACCTACTCCTGGTTTATACAATATATTTTATACATTATACAAATTGTTATATAAATAAGAAATTTATTTTCTAATATTATAATATTATAGGTATTTGTGTAAAAACCCGAACAGTTAATAAAGAAAAAGTTTTTGTCAATATATGTACGTCAGATAAAATTCCACCGCCTGACGATATATCTGATGCTAAACTACTTGAACTTTTAAATGATGAAGTACCTGCTTATGTTATACCAATGAGTATTGGTTTTGAAAGGATGGAAGCAGATAAATGTAAATAAAAATCTTTTACTTGTCTATTAGTGTTAAAATAATGCACTATATACAATCATGAAATTTTTTTTTACAGCTGGTATACCTAGTGCAACATGTGATGTCATGATAAATGCAGTATACTTCAAGAAATGTCAAGAAAAGAAACATTTTATGGCATTTACAACATTAGTCATATTAAGTGGTGTGGCAGATAAATTTAACAAAAAGATTGATACAGAAAATTATGTTATCCTAAAAAATCGTACAGTAAGTATATATAAAAAATAAAATATGTGTATATTTATCTGTTAAAATTCCTTAATGTAATTATATTATTTCATAAGTATGTTCCTAAATATGTATATATCATTCTAGGTAATGGGAAAACTTCAGCAACATAGAATAGAAAATCGTAAGCCCAAAAGGGCGCAAGGTCACAAACCATTGATCGAGGAAATTTCGCATTCTACAGAGCCTATCAATAGCAAGACTAATCTGTCAGCTAGCAATAAAACAAAAACGGGTTATGTAATTTTAAGAAAACCAGCGAAAGGCCCAATTGAGCGTTTAATCGCTTTATTTGATATGCCAAAAAGCGTTAGTCACAAAATTATTAAATGGATTTATCATACAGTCTTTATAGTATTCAGTCAAATAAGATAAATATGCGTTATCACTTACAGGTTTCAGTCGAAGATATAGTAGTATTGATCAACTCTGATCGTATAAATGTTACAGATGAGAAAGCTTATTATTCGTATGACGTTTTACTGCCGTATACATTAAAAGCAGATAATGCGAAAGCTTTTCTCGATTATAATATTGGGGTGAGAATTTATATTCCCTTTTTTTATATTAGATAATATTTGCCTATAGTGTATATATTTTCTTATTTTTCAGATGTTACGAATAGATATATTAACAGAACAAAAATAAAATGGATATTAAAAAATAAGTCTGTTTATTGTGCCTCCCATTTTAAGAAAAATTTTATCAATTTCGTACTTAATTAAAATGATTAAAATATGATTTCATTACATTTTTCTTTACTGTATTTAATTTTGAAGAAAGATATCCGTTCTATATTACACATATACAAATTTGCTTAAGAAATATATCTGAAAAAGTGAAGATAAATTATCCTTTTGGAACTTTATAAAAGCTCAATAAACAAACAAGATTTCAAATATATTTCACAGAATAATATAAATTTATCAACAAATTGCACATGTTAAATTTTTTATATTTCCGTGTAAAAGGCTGGTCGTTCGATACCTATCATGTTAAAAATTTGTGGCAACAGATACACTGTATTTACACCTAACATGAAACAAAATACATATCTATAGACTAAATCGACGACCACCTTATTTTTACTATTGTAATCTTGACACTTCATAAGTTCCTTCCAATTAATTTGTAATATGCCACAAATTATGATATAACTGAATGATTTGCAGAAGGTTTTTGTTACAATAACGCCAGACAAGCCAAGTACAGTTCTAACAATTAGACGACCAAGCACAGAGTATGTTGGCCAAACAATATGAAATGGTGGCAAAAATTGTGATACCCTTAACAGACCAGTATAATAATTGAGCCATGCTCCTGTATGAACTCCTGTTGTGACTGATACAACCATGGCAGTGTCGCTTCTGAAATACATAAAAAAATCATTCACATAGATATAAGCTTTTTTGAAGCTGAATTGTCTTGATGAGTATGATATTCAATATTGACAATTTATCTACCTAGTGGGTGTCCACTTAGAGTTGGATGGATAATATACAATAATGGCAATACTGACTGCAATCAGCATCGCTAAAAGCCAAAAATTTGTAACAATATAAGGACTTGTTATTTCCACTAAGGGTACCAATGGAATCATTAATGCGATTGCTAATACTAAACCGGCCACAATATCTAGCACAGTATGCATACCTAGGTATAACCTACTCATACTGACAAGTGTACACCTAAAAAAGTATTGAATGTTGCAGAGTTTAATAATTTTATATACAGGGAATTAACAAGCAAATATTGTAATATAGCAATCAGGAATGAATCAATTACAATATATTACTTACCAAAGAGATGCGATAATGAAACCGACAGAAAATGGATAAATATATTTGTTCATCGTAAATAATATTACACTAAACGGTATTGTCAAACCAACCATGGCATGAGTAGATGGCATTCCATATTCTTGCGACCATTTATCTTGTAATCTGACTACTGGAGGACACGCTGGTCTAGGCCAACATATTATATCTTTTAGTATCTGCCCTGCGGATAAATAATTAACTAAACTTAATTAACTTAAAATTAATTAAATAAACAAATTTAAAGATAAATTACATGAAAATCATGTGCATGCTTATTGTTATTTTTTGTTATTAATTCATCATACCAATTGTCATAATAATGCCCCATACTAAGACTACTCTTTGACCAACAGCTCCATCAATATTCCAAAACAAGAAAGGTAGAAAAGTTGAATAAAAGATTTCATCTCCTAACTCAGTTCCAAACACAAATGTATAATACCAAAATGAATTAGTGATTGTGTAATTTGGATTATTTGACATCGTCAAAATTCCTTTGTTCGTTTCAATTGTTCTTTGTTCCGAAGAATTAACTTGCTTTGTGTATACATTCAATCGTTGGTTTGCATCACAATCATTTATCTGTTTACTATGGCAAGTTGAAATATAATTTTCTTCATTATCGTCCACTTTTGTGTTGTATTTTTTCTCTTCCTCTTGGAATGTTTTTTTATGCCTATTGTAATATATTTGGACACCAAAAAATTGTTGAATCAATGCGACTAATTGAGGATCCTTTAAGTAATCCATCATTCTTATTAGCTTCAATAACATTCTTATTGAAATTCTTAGTGGATTGATTATTTATTTTTAAATTGTTTTTTTAAACAATTGTTAATATGACTTTCTCCTGATTACAAACATTCCGTTAAATAATCTGTATAAATAATGTTAATGACTTTAATGTTACAATAATCAATCAATGATATAACTTCAATGTAATTCACAAGTGACCAATAAAAATAAATATATATAATTTTCAATAAAAATCCACAACTATATATATTCACTCCATCTCACTCCCAATTTCAGTTTTATAAAATTTTTTCTGCGCTCTTGATGTGCCGTAATACGCAGAACAAGTACAATAAAGCGATAACAAAAATTATCGGCGTGACTACAAAAAATTTATACAATTGCTATAAAAGCGACATATTTTAAGGTTAAGTAATCTGCCGTATCGACCGAATGTGTGATATGATAAGCATGCGCGGTGATAACATTTCGATATTCACCTCCATTGATTCTTTGAAATTTTTTATAACAATATTACAAAATTCACTATTAAATGTAATCGCTTTACGATACATCGCTTTACGATACACAAACATCTGAAGTAGGATTAGGTTAGGAATTAGGTTAGGTTACTATTCTGTAATTTTCTTTAACGACATGATGTCATTATATAGCCGTTGCGCAGCTTTTTTACTATGTACAAAATCTGCGCAATGAATATGTAAGTACCGGCAACAGTAAAACAACATACTGCAGCTATAATTTATTTATCTAATATGTGATAACGTAATAAAAACGTACAATATTATATTTATTACTGAACAATTTTTGTCATTATAATATTGTTATCCATCGTTTATTTAAGAATTAGTCGAACGCTGATTTTAATCGATTTTACATACAAAATACAGCATTGTATAATCGATATATATGTACATGCTTTCCTTTTTCTTACTGGAAAGAAGGAAGTAGGCAACAAGCGCTGGTACACGTAGTCAAATAATTTTGTCTATAGACTTTAGATCCAAAAATTACACAAATCTTAAGCAACACAATGCAACACTGCTGCAGATCATAGAGGTATCTGTCTTTTTATAGTTTTTTCCTGCAAACTGCATTAGAATTCTCTTTCTCGCTTTCACCATAAATATCAAACGTGTAAAGCTATCTAACTTTAAAGTTACAAAAAGTGTATATTAATTCAGCTACAACTAGAATTAAAACAGACTTCAATTGTAAAATTATCTTTAAAAAAACAAAGATAAAACAGCTGATGCTATTATATAGTACACGGATAATAATACATGGGGCGGCATCGCGTTATGCGCATGTAAGTACACTTGGTACGATCTCGAGATAAGATAAGTTTTAAAATTCATCGATTGCCGATTAATCGCATTAAGCGCGAGTGCAGCTTTTAACAAATTAAGTTGCATTTGTGCATAATGTACGATTGATCAATTGATTAATTAAAAACTTGCCTCTATAACTAATTTATAATGTACTCTCTGCAGCTTCTTGCTTTTTATTACTTTTTATTTTTGCCCTTTATCCTGTTTCTATGTTTTCTGTCGCCCAAAATATATATGAAAGTTAACAAACTTTGAAAAAATAAAAAAAAAACGGTTGCAAAAAAGAAAGAGAGAAAAAGTAAACAGCTAAAAACAATTTAATTAGATGCAAAGAGCACATTGTAATAGATTATAATATAAACTTTATATATAATTTATATATACAATAATAAGCAGAACGAAAATTTGAGTCATAATGACATCAAACTATAAACGTCAAAATGACTTCAAAATTTATTAAAAGTCACGTTTCAATTTGCAATCATAATTTATTTTAACATTTTAACGCAATGTATTATTTCATGGCTATATATCGTATATAGAATAACAAATCTTAATCATCTTCGTTCTGCAATTGCCATTACCTCTTCGTCGTCGTATATCACTTTTCAAAGTTTATTCGTTCTTATTCCACACAATGACGTATACTAGACAACAAACAAGCACTTCCGCTTATTAACACAAATCGCAAATCGACCTCACTGATCCTCTTTATGCAACAGAGCCAGCGACATAATTGCGTGATACGATCCGGTAATTTTTTCATTAATTATGTATAAATATGTATAAATATACATAAATATTCATAAACACGTATATAATTATATGTCCATACATATATTTATACATCCCTCTTTCTTTGGTAAAATTACTTCTTAGTGTAATAGGAATAACAATATTAATGTGAAAATAGAAAAAATAATTAAAGGGATAATTTTAGCATTGTTTTAGAAGAAAATAAGTTTGGAAAAATGTTAAAAAATTGCTCATACATAATTATGCATAACTTTATATATAATTATACATAAGTAATTTTTTTACACTTCTTTAAACTTGATTTCTTCTAAAATAAATAGTGAAAATTACCCTTTTAATTATTTTTAATGTTTTCACATTACTATTATATATTGTTATTTCTATTGCGCTAAAAAATAATTTTACAAAAGAAAGAAGAATGTATGAACATGTATGGACATATTTCATATAAAATTATGTATGTTTATGAATATTTATATATGTTTATACTTATTTATACATATTCATGCATGAAACATTTTTTTACCATATAGAGAGAAATAAAAAAGAAATTTATATTATAAGTTTCTTAATGAGATATATCTTTTTTATATAAATATATTCAGAATGTAGTTAAAAATTATTTATTTTGTTTAATTCTACGCAGGAATTTTAAGGAATATAAGTAACGCGGAATATATGTATAATTAACGCGTTACTTTTTGTAAAACGCTCCCAGCAAACGTGAATGAATTGAAATGGATTGAAATGGATTCAGATTTTCAGAAATATTGATTCACGAATTAAAATGAATGCTTTTCAATCCTGAATACATTTTTATTCATTTATGGGAATTGCGTGGAGCATATATCTCTACGCCTTTCAATCTAAAAATAATATTACCTTGATATTTTAAAATAAAAATAGTTGCTCAGTTTTCAAAAATCTTGTCGGTGACGGATGGATGGAATATTAAAGAAAAAAAGACGAAAAATTATACGAGTGTTGCTTTTATTACAATTTTAACCAGAAATATTATAAAAAGTAAATTATCTATTTACTTTTTCTATTTAATCTTGTTTTAATCTTGTTATTAAAATAAATTATACAATTGATACTTTTTTAGGGAACGATAACGTATCACTTTTATAGATCAGTATAAATATAGTAACGATAACTATAGTTACTTTTTTAACTTGGTAACGAGTTTTAAAAATAACTTTGCATTTATCTGCTTCTATTAAAAATATAGCTGATTTTCGACATCTTATGTATAATATAATTGAAATTACCGACTCAGTATCTCAAATTGGATGTCGATAAAGAAGAACGTGACAACATCGATGCCCGATAAGTGCGTTTTCTTTTATACCGACTCAAAGTAATCGCCAGAGAGAAACCTGATGGTAAGACCGGGATATTTATTCTCAGATTTCTCTTTAGTATCGCTAATAAAGCAGAAATTGTATTGCATATTGATCATCCGAAATCTAGTTTGCTAAAAATAATTCTCTATTCGAGTATCTCGAACATATTGAATATTTCGAGTGGCGCGAATGGGCATAAATAAAAGATCGAGGAAGGATCGGATGACAAAAACGAGGTGTGCCATTCATACATTTATTGGTTACAAGTTACAATTCACAGCGATGATTGGCTATGAGGATCGTGAGGACGAAAGGATAAGCAGCAAATAATAGGAAATAGTGGCAAATACGCACGAGGTATACCTGCATATGTACGATTGTGCCAATGTGCGCGAAGCTACCGTTTTCCGGGGCGGGTCGAGGGCGTATTGTAATATTATAATATACTGTGAGATACGCCTCGTCATGCACTGACGTTGGAAATAGTGGCGTGATGCGAAGGCATTCCAATCGATCGCGGTCGCAGTGGCAGTGGTCGCACTCGCACTTGGCAAGCTAACACAACGAGCAGTCAGTCAGTCAGTCACTCATACGCAGCTTGAGCGGTGACTCAGTGAATCGTATCAAGTCGTATGCCGTACGTTGAGCGACGTCAGACTTCAGATTCAGACTATATCTCGATAACGTGACACATACCGCCGGCTTATTAACCGTCAGGCACCGCGTGAGTCCGTCAATCAGTGGACCCACCTCCTTGATACTCCTCGACTAATCGCTCGACGTACTTTGTACCACCGTGAGACAATCCATTCTCTTTGTCGGCTATTCCGCTCTCGTTCAGTTCGATAATTGTCCACGTTCGTACCATTTCGGATCTATTGAGATTTCGTGGTGAGAGTGAGCTAAAACGCGGGAATCCAACTCGACGACCATCAACGACGCCTGTGAAGGTAAATACTCTCAAGCTGTTTCCTTTTTCTACATTTTCTCTACCTCTTCTCATTCTTGCTCCGAAATCTTAATACAAACTTTATTTATATCAATCGCGAAAAGAGCGTAAAGAAGCTATAAGTATAGCTTGTTGCAAAACGAAGATTACTAAATATCCGAGTTTCTTTTCCTTTGGAAACTTTATTTATTTTTATTTTTTTTCAAAATGTACTCGATCAACGATTTAATATACATGCAATTTAATATACAGCTGTTCTTAGTTGCTATGTATTTGCATTTCGCTGTTTCTGCAGTTAACTGTTTTGTCATGGTTTGAAAAATAAATAATCACTTTACATGTTTACATCTTACGGGCACTTTATTTTCAACAACTGTCATTGAAAAATGTTCACAATACGAAATATTTCGAAGACGGCAAATGATTCGTCGTAATATAACAAGAGCTACTGTCTCTATGTATTAAACATGATTATTTTGATTATAACTCACGTTAAGTATAAATGGAATTTGAGTTAGTCAAACAGGAAAACGTGCATTAAATCGCATTTTTATGCAAAAATGAAACGGCTCTCGAAAAGGCGCTTTAATTCTTCATTTATATAATAGTTTATTTATATAATTATATAATACATTTGTTCAGATATAAATATAAAAAAGAAGAGTCTGAAGAAAGAGCAAGTTGTTTTTTTTCAGGCTTTTGAATTATTCAAGAAAAAGACTCCTAGAAGGTCATTCTAAATGTTTTTTCGGGAAATGGCATAACACTATGAGATGCTAATAAGCAATTAAAACAATCGAAAAAATAAGATATTTTTTTGACCGCGCAGAAACTAGTTTTTCGTCCATTCTCTTTAATGTTTATGATTGATTTCATTCATACAGACAGGTATATAACATATGTATGTACGGGTAATACTAGATTGAAAAATCATCGTTGTAATCGTTGTGGGCAACTTGGACCGCGTCGTGTAAGTCGTGTTACTCTCGAAAGAGCGTGGCCAAGATAAAATTATATCACCCAAACAGTATCTACAATTTGCCAAGCATGCGCGTGATATATGATTAACTTCGTTTTCTCTCTATCTCCCTTTTAAACCACATTCAAGAATTTGGCTTAATCACCATTTTCTGCGCTATCTACATACATATGTATTGTATGTAAAGTTTCGACTAGAGATGAACTCGACGAAAAGTCGTATCTGAATCGCCTATCTATATTCTATCATTTCCGTCAACTTTCAAAATACAAAGTTTATTTGTGTGCCTTGCATTTCTTACAATTTAATAACACATCACTAAACTGAAATGTTATTTTAGAGTTTCTACTTATTTCAAAATTAATGAATTAATTTCTTGCATTGATTTTTCTTATGCATTTTTCAAGACTTTACAGTAAATTACTATTAAATTGTTGCGTCTATATATATATTGCAAATTTGTTGTTAAGAAAAGCGTTTATTCCGATTGACCGCAATAATTGAATGTATTATGAAATAACTATTATGAAATAATTCGCTTACCGCATATATAATAATGATATTGATAATGATATTATGGCACATCTTTAGACGTACTTTACGCCAAAAATGCTTATGAGGCATATCGTTATTTAATTTTTTTTTAATTTGCTGACGTATTCTACAGATAAAAATATGAGACACGTGTTTCGCGAAAAAAATTTGATTTTATGAATATTAATAGTTCTAAGAATGAGAAAATGATAAAGAGTAAATTAAACCGAGATTAAAGCTAATTTA